TTGCTCACCAACTTCAGTTAACTCTTGTTGAGGTATCCAAAAAATGTCTTCAAGTTCGAGAACTTGTATTGTTGATTTCTAATGTATTAAATGTAGTGGGAGGTTCTTTTAAATGTATGGATGAACTTTGAGAATCTCGAGCAAAAAAAAATTCAAGAGGCACTTGATATGAGTGAGGCAGAAAGTGGTAAGGGATTGAATTTAAAACTTGATCTTATTAGACCTGTCAATACTCGGTGGGGTTCATATTATAAAAATTTTAAGAACTTCATTAGTATGTTTAGTTCTATTACTAATATTCTTGCTATTATTGTTGTTGATTCTAAATATATTGAAGAAAATGTTAAGACAACAGGATATCTTAAAGTTTGTCAAACATTTGAGATTGCCTTCATATTGCATTTAATGAGAGATATTTTAGAGATCACAAATGAGCTTAATGAATCTTTACAAAAGAAAAAATAAGATATTGCAAATGTCATTCTACCTGTTAAAGTGGTGAAGAAATGATTGTAAGATTTAAGGGATGAAGGATGAGACTCACTTGTCGAGAACATGTCTGCATTTTGTGTCAAGTATGATATTTGATACCTAATTTTGATGATTTCTCTATTAATTTTGAAAGATCTTTACGTTAAGTTGTTGAGTATACTATCTCACATCACTATCGTGTGAAAATATTTTTTAAGATTATTGATTGGCAGCTTCAAGAACTCAATGATTGTTTTAATGAGGTTAGAACAGATTTGCTTACTTGAATTTAGTTGACTCATGTTCTAGTTTTGACATCAAGAACATATTGAGAATGACTGGATTATATTCTGATGATTTTGGTGAAAATGTAATGGTCACTCTTTGGAATCAATTAGAGACTTATATAGTTGATGTATCTGATTGTTCATAAAAGGTTCTCCAATCTAAAATTGGTGATCTTTCTGAAAAGCTAGTTAAGGTAAAGAAGCATTTAAATTATCCTCTTGTGTTTTGCCTTATAAAATTTGTGTTGTTTCTGCCGGTTGCTACTTCTATAGTTGAAAGAGCTTTCTCAACAATGAAGATGATCAAGAATGAATTACGAAATCGAATGATTTCATGAGTAGTTGTTTGGTACCTTATGTAAAGAAAAGAATATTTAATACTATTTCTGATGATAGTATTATGAATATGTTTCAAGAAATGAAAACTCGTAAAATAGAATTGTAATAATATATTTTAATTAATCAAAAATTATTTTGTTTGCTTTTTTGTTTATTTATTTTTTATATCTTAAACCCACTTCATTAAAATCATGGGTTCACCACTGCGAGGTAACTATTATTGAAAAAGATCTATATAAAAAAAATAGTTAATGCCCAAATCTCGATATCTCAATAAAAAAAGATGTATTCATCTAAAATTGTTATGTTTTATATAAAATATAATATATTCATGTATTTTAATTTAAAGTCTTTAATACATTATTTATGAGATTTTTTCGTTCTAATTTAATAAGGTATTAAGCTTTGAGATAAGAATTTTGTACAGTTTCAGAAATTTTTAAGATAAATACAAAACTTAAAGCAAAGTTATTGAATCCAGTGTAACCTTTAGCCAACATCATTCATCTGACATTATACAAATTTAGACTTAACTTATTTGATTTGAATATATTTTGGGATAGTTTTAAATATATATAATAAATATAGACAAAATCATAGGGAGTATATACTCACTATACAATATAACTTGGCAAAATTCATGGAAAGTATATACACACTAACTCTAAAATATAGTGTACACTGACTATGCATTATGATACATCAAAAACCTGAATATAGCTTAAAGTATACATTGACTATACATGAAGTATACATTAACTATTCAATCTCGGTCAACTCAAAATCACCAATAAACAGTCCAAAAATTTCAACCATGAAATTCTCTCGATGTTTCGAGTATTTGATATATAATTTGCTCGAAACAATTTACATTTTCAATACGTCAAACTTTTTAAGAAGATAATTCGCTTGAAACATTTCAAGTTTGCAATACGTCGAATTGTTTAAATAAATTGGCCAATTTTTTTTTATACCAAATGGATATTTCAAAAATGTGAATGTTATTATGAATGTTTATTTGAACCAGGTACTTAATCTGGTAATAATAAAATAAATATATATCGATTAACTTAGAAAAAGTCAACATGATGAAAAAGAAAAGGGTATATGAATGACTCAAAATATTGAGAAACCTAATTAACAGAACAAATAAATAAATTATATAGATAAAATGATAGATAAAAATAAACTATCGAAAACCATTTAATTTAACGCAATTTATTCTTGAAGAGTAAAAATTATACTTATATGTACAGAGTTTGGACCCAAAGGGCAAAAAAAATAGCAAAATTTTCAAAAGAGCAACAAAAATTGAGGATCAAATCAAAAGGGCAACATTTGGATAAAAGGATGGATGTCGTTAAATTGTATGTTGTAAGGCACATGCAAGGCTCATGCTGACACGAGTCTTACAACAAAAAATAAAATACGGCGCACTTTTAAAAAAAATTTAATATTCCTTCTCCATTATTTATTCAATTATTTTGTTGTTTTTCGTGTTTTTTTTTCTATTTTCACTATTTATATGTAAATAAAAATGTAAGTGATGCGGTTAAGTATAATAGATTTTTTTTTATTTAATTTGATAATATTGAGGACAAAATATAGGGACATGAAAAAGAATATGCATTTTAGGCGTCTCGTTTGGTTCAGTCCGATTTTGAATTTTATCAATTTGACTTATTGGTTATCGATTTGTAGACATGTTAACCTATCAAAAAAAAAACTCAAACCAATAAGAACCGATAACGTAATGACAAAATAATCAAAACCATTATTAATTAAATATTAAACCCATTAAATTTAAACCGATCATAAATCAATCTCTCGTGGCACACATTTATTTATAGATATGTGTATGCACATATATAGTCCTGTAATTTTACAAAATTAAATTGATGACATATTTATATATATTATTAATTGAATTTAAAAAGTCATAAATCCTAGTATTCGGCAATTTAGACATATTTATATATATTCTTCATTATTTATTCAATCATTTTGTTGCTGTGTTTTCGTATTATTTTTTTCTATCTTGACTATTTATATGTAAATAAAAGTGTTAGTGATGCGGTCAAGTTTCTATAGAGAAAATACAACCATACACAAACAAAAATAACTACGTCGAGACAGACGATAATCTCTAAAATAATATGTAATGTTTAGAAATTTTGTCCTTTATATCATTTTTCATGTCCCTATATTCTGTCCTCAATATTATCAAATTATATATAAAAAATAAACTATTAAACTTGACCGTATCACTTACGTTTTTATTTACATATAAATAGTAAAAGTAGAAAAAAAATAAACACAAAAACACAACAACAAAACGATTGAATAAATAATGAAGAATATATATATATATTTTATTTTATTTTATTATAAAATTACAGAACTATATATGTGCGTACTTATATCTACAAATAAGTGTGTGCCACGAGAGATTGGTTTATGATCAATTTAAATTTAATGGGTCACTATTTAATTCATAACGGTTTGATATATTTTTTTGATATCACATTATCAATTCTTAACAGTTTGAATAAACACGAAAACACAACAACAAAACGATTGAATAAATAATGGAGAAGGAAAATTAATGTTTTTTTTAAAGTGCGCTTTTTTGTTATGTTGTAAGGCTCATGTCAATATGAGTCTGGTAAGACTCATGTCAACATGAGCCTTACAACATACAATTTAACGGCATCCATCATTTCATCGAAATGTTGCCCTCAGTGGTGTAGCCACATGGTGGTCAGGGTGTCCAATTGGACACCCTTCGTCGAAAAAAATATTGTATATACAAGTAAAATGATACACGAAATGATTAAATAACATATTTTGGACACCCTTAATATAACAAGTTGCTATAGCCCAGTAAATTTCATCTCCTTAGAATGAAGAAGTGTTATTTCTGGACACCCTTTGTGAAATTCCTGGCTTCGCCACTGATTGCCCTTTCCTCAATTTTTATTGTCCTTTTGAAAATTTTGTACAACTCAAATATTCAGAAGACGGGACATTATTATTTTAAATAATTGTGCCAAAAATTAATTGAAATAAATGCAAGATTTTAGTTGATAATTTTATTTTGTTCTGAAATTTACTAAGAAGATATGATATTAATGTTCTGCAAATTTCTTGTATTAATAATCAGAACCAGTGCACATTAAAATTAACAAAAAGATTACATGTGAACTTTTTGCAAACAAAATTTGCATAAATAACTTTACAACATACGTACAAATCAATATTTGGAAAATGTATATTAATGATTAGGCTAAGATTAATGAGTACGCAAACAAAAGATCAGTCTGCACACATATGAAAATTAAAAATGTCAACAGAATATATTTCAGTATTTGGGGTATAATAGGCAGATACATAAGAAGATACTAACAATGATCAATTGTCACAACTAATAAAAAATTATAAAATTTGAAGTAAACATATTCCTTATACAACAAATAAGTGGTTCGTATTTAAGAATCCACATTTTCATAAAAATTTTATAAAGACTATTTTCATTCGACAATAATTTTTTAAAAATATGTATGTATCAGTAAACAAAAGTAGGCTACAATTTCTTGACAAAACAAATAAACTAAGACCGATAATATTTGTAACCATAGACAATGTTGGGCTCATATAAACTATGTTATTGAAAGGTCTAAAATTAATTAAGTTAATTAAATTAATATTGTATGTCCAAACACTACTTTATATACAGAGAGAGAGAGAGAGAGAGAGAGAGAGAGAGAGAGAGAGAGAGAGAGAGAGAGAGAGAGTAAAAAAAGGTAATACCAACTTATGTGTTTTACAACTTCATACAATACCAGTTATCGCAGTAAACTTTGATTAGCAATATAAATAAGAGCTAAGATGACAAGGTACTCAAAGAAGAGACAACTTTATTTGCATTTCTTGGTATCCAAGAACTCACATATATTAGTTCGGTTCTGATTTCTATCATAAATCAGATATATGTAGTATTGCAATGACACTTCCTACGATGTCGTAAAGATGAGTATATGGATTGATATGAAACGTATAGTGTGGAAAAAGAAGGCAGGGCGTACTGCTATCTATGGAAGCTACCTCTAGTTTAAATATCTTATGAAGAGCCATATAAGTCACGGCCACACCGGTCACATACATTGGAGGTAGCATGGGAGACTCTTGCTGGCTTCTCTTTCTGCATCTTTGGTAGATCATGTACTAAAACATCATGCAGGGCATTAGAGCCTTCTTGAAGCTCCTCCAAACTGTGAATACAGCAAAAACAGAATTGAGTCACACATATATCAGGTTGTAGTGAGAACAAAAACTCTAAGATTTACATCTTAAGATTGACTTAATGAACCGAGCCTACTTGCTATCTTCCTACAGGAATATCCCCTTGTCTATTTAGATGTTCTGCTTACCCTATCCATAGAAAAGAGGACCAGCTATTTGAAGATATTTGGGAATTGAATGAGGGGTAAAATAGTGAGATAGACTGAAATGGAAAAGAAGTGATGACGTTGAACTTGTGGTTCCTCGACCACAGTAAAAGATTGCAGTGCCAAGACAAAACAAATGGTTACAAATGCATTGCTTCTCTATGTTTCTTGATCATTTTTCCACAATGGCTTACCTTGCTATGCTCTTCGAGGTAATTTAAAATTTGAAACCAATTAAAACACACAACAGCACTTCAGTGGCATCAAAAACAGCAAGTAAGCTAAGTTAGATAGAGATCCTAAAACTAAGTCATATAAGAAGAGATTCAGAAAGGCACGAACGTGTAACACATATTAGTAAGTGTTGAGAGTTTGGCAATAAAGATGCATTAAATCTAGACAAAAAAAATTAATAAATGCCAAGTGGATGATAATAATTTTCAAATGGGGAACATTTGCGTAGTGATTTCCTGTTCACTAAGTGATGGGGATAGCTAAAGTCAACCCAAACTTCATAGATGTCTGAATTTGAATTTGTATAGTAGAAAATCAAATGAACTTCTGGGTTCTCTACATAGAAAAGGCATAAAGAGTAACATTTTGAAACTTACGGCATAAAATCTTCTTACAACAGTACAGATATGACAATCCATTTGCAACAACCACTAACGAGAAAAAAAAAAAAAGGCTACATCATGCAGAAAGTTGTGAGAGGAGCAACGAGTGATTAGTACTGCTGTTATGTACAGCTGTGACGTTCCATTAAGGGGTGAAACTAAAACAGCATATCTCAACTGAATTGGGAACAAATATTGTGAACTTGACAACAATAGGAGCAACTACTACATGACTCTGCAGTACATCCGAACATATTTTTGTGGCCTCGTAGTTACATTATTCTATTTTTACTTACCTGAAAAAGCATACATAGTGTAGTTTCCCTCCATTACTAGTGTAATCACATCATCTTGTAACTACCTTATTAAAACAGAATATTTCAAAATATTCCAAATGAGTGAAAAACCATCATAACTACCACCATCTTGTCGTACCACCTCCATAAAAAACCTTCACAGAATATAATACTTCAAAATTTTCCAAATGTGGAGAGTAAAATTATTAATTACAACCAGTGTTAGCAAGCCAATAGCACAATATTCTACAAACACCCGCAAGGACATTAGAAAGAGTTAGGAGCTACTTCCATATAATGTAGCTGTTAGAATGGGTAAAAGCATTGGTTGGGAATGGATTAGTAGTCTCTTTATATGGACTTGGACAATCCTCCTCTCATGATCTAGTTTTTGGGGTTGGGTTAGGCCCAATCTTTACATGGTATCAGAGTCAGGTCTATCCTCGCTTGGGCTTTCGGTCCACACTCCTGTTGAGCTTGGGCATGAAGGGGGGGTGTTAGACTGGGTTAAAGTCCCGCATTGGTTGGGGAATGGATTGGTGGTCTCTTTTTATGGACTTGGGCAATCCTCCCCTCATGAGCTAACTTTTGGGGTAGAGTTAGGCCTAGGTGTCATATCTTTACAGTAGCTAGCTCCAACTCAGTGAAATTGGGAGAAATTTCTACCTTCTCCTCCAACAAAAAGGAATGGTGAAAAGAATGATTAACTATGTAGAGACACTATAAAAGATAATTGAAGCGGGAATATTGAAGGTGAAGAAAATTTGTCTACAAGTTATAGCCAGAATCATTCTCCTACCGTAAAAAGAAAAGGAAAGAGAGAATTAATTATTCTACTGATTCTCAGATGATCACTAGCTAGGTTCATCTTCTCACAAGAAATGGTATTCAGATCTCCACTAAAAAGGGGTAAAATTAAGCAACTATAAGATTTAAGAAAAAAAGGCATACCTCATTGACAGCGGGGGCGTCAAGCGTATTATAGAATCATGAGTTGGCTTAGCAAGAATGCCTCTCTCCTTCAGTTTCATACATATATCATAAGCTGTCACAGGTAATAAGGATTTGCTATTAAGCTCCACAGCATTGAATAGGCCTTTCCCTCGAACTTCCTTTATGAAATGAGGAAATTGCCGCTGAATCTTTATCAGCTGATGTCTAAGTTGTTCTCCCATTTGAGCAGATCTATTATCAAAGATACCATTTGTACAGATTGTGATATCAAAAGTTGCTCATTATCAAGAAATGTGAATGCAGGATCTAACAGGTGATTAATATAAAAGAGATTTATGAAAAGACCACAAAACTACTATCAATGTAACCCAGAATTATAACTGTAGCCCACTTACGAGCAGAGGAATTATTCCTCGTATGGTGAGCATTTCATGTTAAATATCTTAAGTTTGATGTGATTTCTGAAACATCCCTACCCTTCCCCACAACATCCTACCCTATGGGCAGGGACAGATCAGTGTACAATATATGCAACAAAACATCTGGTGTGAAGCAAGGAATTTGATACCTCTCTGCAAGTCCTTCATCTCTAATCACATCTAAAGATGCAATTGCAACTGCACTGGCCAATGGATTCCCCCCAAAAGTGCTATTGTGTTTGAAAAGAAAAAAGATACGTATCATGAAACAGAGACAAACTAATGTAAAGAAATAGAAAACACACACATAGTCATGGCTGCAGTGAACTGTGGTAGGGGTATAGCAAGTTCAAAACCTCTGTTATAAGCCCAATTCAAATCAACTTAAAATCACAAGGGTAAACCTCACACAGAGCAGGAGTTCAAATTTAACATACTTTTTCTTCAAATACATCTACTGAATAGTAGAACCGGAACATAATATGGTTTTAGTTTGTAAAATCTTTTCACCTCAAAATCGGAGCCATTGGAAGGTCAAAGCTGGTAGTCCACATTGCTAGCTGGTGTTTTGACTAGCTATGATTACTAGTATAACTATATAGGAAAGAAACTGGACATCAATGCTGAAAAGAATTAGAATAAAATCTTTGTCATGTTCTACAATGAAGAAGAATTACAAGCAATTGTTACCCTGATAGCCTTGATCCTTGACTAAACTATCACTAATCCTACTCCTTCAGGTTCTAGTATCTTTTCCATTCTTTTATCCCCTTTACAAATCATTAAAGCACCATAAAGTGTTGATTTTAAAGAATTTTTATCCATTAACATGCACACCATCATTTCATTAATTTTTGAGCAACATGCAAGGCATCATTTATATATACAAAAAAAAAAAACACTGTGTAAGTCAAATAACTTGAGAAATATGGAACCCATAACTTGCTCTTTCCAAAGCAACAAACTCTATCTAAAATCAACTGCAAGTCAAATAAATTAACAAACAGTTACGAGAACTTCTCATTTAGCAATTTGCAACCTTCCATGCTCTCCAGCCTGAATGCAAAGCATAACATCTTTATCTGCAAGCACAGCACTCACAGGCAAGACTCCACCACCTAATGCTTTTCCCAATATCTGCACAGCACATTTTTAAAATTTAGGAGCATGACCACAAAGACTCAAGCGAGTACCATATGTTCAAACAAATTTAATTGTCTTCTTATAAGAACTAATAACTATCTTACAACAACATCTGGACGAACTTCTTCCCAATCACAAGCCAGCAATCGACCAGAGCGTGCCAAGCCACTTTGTATTTCATCAGCAATCATCAAAATATTGTACTTTGAGCAAAGATCTCTAACGGCCTTCAGGTAACCTTCCGGGGGAATTATAACCTGCAGAGGAAGGGAAATATTGTGTGGTAACATAATAAGCACAGATAATTTTTCCATCCGGACAAGTGACAATAACCTCAGTGACAATATCTTCCTGCATGCACTGCCCTTTCCAGGTGGTATGAGCAAAAGATTAAAAAATAAATGGCCATGGAAAAGACTGAAAATACCAGGCTGAGGTCGGTAGCTCACACTCCAAGCAAATATTTGTAAATTTCTTGTTATAACAAATTAGATATGATGATAGACACACTATATATTTCTATATGGTCATTTCGGTTGAAGAATACACATACCCCAGCCTCTCCTTGAATTGGTTCAAACAAAAAGCCAGCTATCTGATCTCCTTTTTCTGAAAACCATAAAAGAGTGAAAAATAATGAGCTCCAACTACTATGTCTGCAATTAGGAAGAATGTATTTGACTACCATTACTTTGCCAAGATAGATCCATCACCTTTACGTACCTTTGAATAATTTTTCAAGGGTAACAGAATCTCCAAAATCGACTTTAAGTTGCCCAGGTAATAGGGGCCAAAAACCACGAGTAGCTTCATTGTCACAACTCATGGAGATTGCAGCCAACGTCCGACCATGGAAGCAGCCACAGCATGAGACAATGAGAGCCTGCAAATGACAAAAATAATATATCAGAAAAGTCTAGACAGACATCCAGGTCAATCTTAGTAAAGAGGATATGGCCTTTCATGGTGTCGTTACGAAACTTTGAGGTGGAGTTCAATTATGTATGACTGGAAACTTAGAGTTGACTTGAATTTCAAAGTAGGAATACACACACAAAACTGGATGCAGCAGGTTCAGGATTCAACTTTTCGTAACATTTACATAACAACCAGAAACTTTTGTAAGACTCCGAATAACTTAATAGGGGAAAGGAAATTGTTTTTCACATATGTATTTTAAGAGATCTATCTCTAACTTAATTTGCTACCCATGTAATTAGGAAAACTGTTAAAGTTTGACTTCCTGACAAAAACCGAATGCATGAAGTAGTAAGGTATATTTTCCTCTCAAAAAGAAAGTAGTAAGGTATATTTTCTTTACCTCATTTTTCGGTATTCTCTTCTTCATGTAACCCCATTTCCTTGCCAGCTTAAGAGCTGTTTCTACCCCTTCTGCACCAGTGTTCATAGGTAGCAGCATATCATATCCAAACATGCTGGTTATACGTTCTGCAAATACTGGAAACCTATTGTTATAGAAGGCACGAGAACTGAGAGTGAGCATTTGAGCCTGTTCTGCTAATACTTTCATGATCTTTGGATGACAATGTCCCTGAAAATAAAATTGAACTTTAATTCAGTATGAAAATCTTACATAGTACTTCTCTATTTTAATCTGTGACCTGAAAATATTTCATACACTTGTCAAAATATAATCCTCCACTTCTGCAATATTTCAAGAATATAAATCCATTTAGTAATTGAAAACTAAACCATTGTGTAATGAATACTTTATCAAAGTAACATTTTGATACTATAACAATTAACAAATATTAGATCAAGTCAAATTGCATTTTCAACCTCTGTGCTTAGATGAAAGGGGTGTGGAAAATGAGTATCACCAAAGGTAGCTTTCTTTAGATAATCTAAAGAGGATGATCACTTCATTACTTCTGTCAAATGTGTGCAAGAACGTAGGAAACAACCGTAAACCTACTTTTCCATTGTGATACAGCTATGGAGATGTAGAAAATGTCTATGGAAGCTTTTGAAATGCAAAGAGTGATGTCTAGAGAAGTCCATTAATGCTTACATGTGGAGGGTCTGTAGAGACCCAAAGGCATTCAGGAAAATGCAGTACAATTGCCTCATTTGCATGATAAGGAAAAGTAGAAAGAGATATACAGGAGGTGTCTTGAAGTACAAGCTAGTGCCTTGTGTATAGGGTAAATTATAGTTCTTTGAGCATTTATTTTTCTGGTGCATACAGAGAAATATGAATGTTAGACACGCTTATGAAATTCTGGAAGCTCTGAAGCCTGATTTTTGAAAACCTTACATTTAGTACCCTATTTGTGTGGTTACAACTATTTGAGAAAGGTATTAGTTAACGACAAATGAACCTGATAAAGTGTAAATGTTATCAACTACTTTACTAGTTTCTTTTAGTAAGACAAGTTGACTGCTTTATCTCTGTGCCAAGACAATAATGTCAAATTTATTAGGTGGAGTAAATCATTGGTAATGTGAACCTAACAAAGTGGATACATGAAACTAAGAGTCCCGAAGAGCATTCCTACACTATCGTGAGGACATAAAATGTACATCTTGGTTGGTAATATGAACCTGACAAAGCGGATAAATAAAACCAAGTGCCCTGAACTGCATGTCCTATACTGTCGTGAGTATATAAAATGTACATCCTAGTTGGTAATATGAAACCTAACAAAGCAGATAAATGAAACCAAGAGCCCTGAACTGCACCATCCTACAAAGTAGTGAGTGTATAAAATGTACATCCTGGTGACATAGCATTGGAAGAATGGACACTACACTTCCCTTCAACTTTTCGAATGAATAACAGGATCTATGGGAGTTGTGCAAGTGTATGCTAGAAGACCGATAAAGAATAGTACAAAGTTGACTCTACCTACTTTAGGAAATAGTCAAAAACAAATACCAAGGTGTTCCAATAATTGTTCTTCTCTCTTTTTACCTGATTGACAGCAGAATAAGCTGAGAGGAAATCAAGATATTTTTTCCCTTCTGGATCCCAGACAGATGAACCCTTAGCTTTAGAAAAAACGATAGGAATCGGATGGTAACTGCAATTCAGTCAAAAGAATCAGTATTTCCAACGCTATACCACCCATATAAGTTCTATTTTTTTCATTAAATAACAAAAGAATTAACATGCTTGAGCTGTCACATTCGAAAACATTCACAAGAAAGAATATTTTTTCAAATATTAGCTGCAAAACTTGTGCTACTTCCATAAAGTGCTAATCATAGTCTACACACCTCCTGAGCAACAAAACTACACAGTTGCTCCAGATATGCCTCATCTTCAAGATCCTCATGAAGAAAAACATTTTTAATATCCAATTGGTAAAGAGGCCAATGGCGAACAACAACCATGGATAAGAAGTTATGGACTGAAGCAATCTTAGCCACAGACAAGCCTTTCGACAGTCAAAATTTGTCCGTCAGGGCCAACCTTCACGGTATATACCCAACGACAATCAACTGGAGTTAAAGGAACAAGCTCTCAAGTACCACTAGAGTGTAAAGCAAACATATCCCCAATCATAGCTTGTTGCCAGCTTAGATGACAAAGAGCTTCACCTTAGGAATGGAAACAGATGATAGAGGAACGACCTCCCAAGTACCACTGGAGTGTAAGGCAGACACCTCCTCAATCATAGCTTGATGAGAAAGAGTTTCAAGTGTAGTCTTAGGGATGAAAACAGATAATAGTGATGAAACAAAGGCAGTATGGGCTAGTGACAAATGATGATAGCTCAAACAAGTATATTTAGGTAGAGGGTTATGAATAAAACAAATACATTTTCCGGTGGCAATGAAAGAACTTTGTGTAGACAAATCCGCAACCAGTAGGTAATGACTGCTCATCTGGACCAAATAAGGAGCATGGATGATGATGATAAGTCGATAGTGGTGGAGGTGGAGTTGAAAAAGAAGGAATTGTAGAAGGTGAAGGGGAAGGGTGGAAGGATCAACTATGACAGGATCCCCAAAAAATGGAACTAGTAGAATCTCAAAGATGCCCAGATGTTCAGCAAAACAAAATGTGAAGTATGTCTGACCTTCAAAGAAAGTAACATCAACTAACATAAGGTATCATTGGAGGTCAGGTGAGAACTATCGAATCCCTTTTGTAACCTTGAATAACCGAGAAAGACACACTTAAGAGCACGAGGAGCCAATTTGTGTTATCCTAGGGTGAGGATATGGACAAAGCATGTCCTCCCAAAGACACGTGGTGGAAGAGAAAACAAGGTCGATTAAGAAAACAAAATAGAGTGTGGAATCTAATTTTGAATAAGGCATAGAGTTAATCAGATAACACGATGCAAGTACTACATCCCAAAAAACGCAATGGAACATTTACTTGTATGAGTAGGTACATGCAGTCTCAACAATATACCTATTTTTCCTTTTTGCGACCCCATTTTATTCTGCAATGTAAGGACAAGATGCCCGACGGAGAAGAATACCATGGGAAGACATAAATTGTTGAATTTGAGATGACAAACATTCACGTGCATTATCATTGCGAAAAGTGCAACTAGAAACACCTAATTGATCTTGTATTTCCACACAAAAAAGTATAAGTATGATGAAAAATTCATAACGATCTTTCAATAAGAAAATCTAAGTACACTTGCAGTAACCATCAATGAAACTAACAAAATACTTAAAACCCAACGTGGAACTAACTCTACTAGGACCCCAAAATATAAAAATGAACTAAATGAAGAAAAGACTATGCACAACTCTTGAGACTACATGGAAAATTAGTTTGGGTGTGCTTCCCAATTGACACAACTCACAGTCTAATTTAGACAATTTTAACAAGCTAAGTACCCATCTTTTGATGTTCGGATAAACTATGGTGTCTCAATTGTTTGTGGATCAAATCTGGAGAGCCAGATACCAAACATATTGTAGTGGGTCTGGGAGGGTTAAGATAATAAAGTCCATCAGATTCACGTCCTTAGCCAATCATCCTTTATGTACCAAGGTCATGTACAAGAAAGAAGTCACTAAAGAATGAGACAACAATTTAAGGCTTTAGCCAAATGACAGATTGACACAAGGCTAAAGGGACAACCGGGGACAAAAAGAACATTATTCAGAGCCAAGGAAGGTAAGCGATTGGCTTGACTGGCTCTATTTGTCATGGTCTACGAATCATTAGCTAATATAACAGTAGGGACGGACCAAGGATAAATAATATTAGACAATAACGATTTGTTACTAGAAATGTATTCAGAAGTGCCTGAATACATGGCCCATTGACCAAGTGTGATGGACTGTGAGATACAAGCAGCAAGATTACAGGTTTGAGCAACGAAAGCTATTAATGGAGATATATACTTACTCGCTACTCACTTGATACCACCGAAAGTCATCGTATTCTACCTTAGATAAGAGAAAAGTGGATTGATTGGATTACAAGTGGATTCAGACTAAGCAACAATGAGTATTCTTTTCTCTTTTAATTGAAATAGGTAACTTTACAACATGAGTGTTCTTTAATTTACCATGTAGAGAGTAGTACACATCACGGACATATCAATTTGTTACAATGGCTACACCTTGATTGATGTTTCCCAGACCAAGCTCCAGGTCGATTTTCAGGCTGAGATGCTAGAACAGAAAAGTCTGCGGGTGTTACCAAATGACTAGACAACAAAGGTGGTGCAATCAGACATGGAAATCGAGCAAACAAGTCATCCACAACATGATTAGTGGGGCTAGCCAAAATTAGATCTCGTATGGAGTCAAGATTAAATGGAAATCCAGCAAGTGTAACAACTAAAAAACACTTCTCACGTTGCTTCAATTGTTTTAAACACTTCATTAGTGGGCATTAGCTCATTAAATTCTTGTATAACTACCTAAACATATCCAAGATTAGTAGACATATCTGAATCATGTTTTAAGGTTACTCAACCAAGAAATTACATTATAAAAGCGAAAGATGTCATTTGTTTACAGCCCACGAGCTTCATCTCAAATTAAGAAGAAAATTTGGAATGGTCGGGACAACGACATTGATTTCGAATCTCTAGATTTCCAATCAACCTTCCCCCATTCGCCCTTATCTTTTTCATCAATGTCTTTAGCCTGCTTAACCAAGTTACCTTGACACATTGTCCCTTGCACCATAACTGAACAGAGGAAGACCAAGATAAGTTGTTTGCACTACCTATCAAGGGTTATGTGGTGATCGAGTGATTTGGGATGCTGGAAACCATATGTTTAGAACCACATATATCTTAACCGAGTGACATTTTCTTAAAGCAATTGCCGAAAGATAGACTTCCCTCACTGAAGGTGGTTGGAAAATAGTATAGCAGTATATATCCGCTCGGAATCACTAGGCGACCCTACTGGATAAAAAATCATCAAAAAATCACCGAAAACTACAAAAACTAGGTAGTCTCCGCAAAAAATCGATAGATTTGATTGCCAGAAAGTGATTGAAACTAGGTGAAATTTGAATGCATAGTGTCGGAAAAAAAAGGTAATCATATCTAGAAAAAGAGTCTAACCAGAAAGTGGCCTAAATTGTGCTCATGGACCAATGTGCAGACAAATCTCATTGAATTCTGCCCTGATCTTATCAGTGTGTGGGGCGTCAGATGTAGACGGAGCAGTGTTATCAAAAGCAAAAAGGGTAAAAAAAGATCTAAGGTTCGTTCGGGCTTTAAGCGCAAATAGAGTGTGAGCTTTAATAAAAGAGGTGCAAGGGGAGAAAAATACAAATGTACAATTTAGTCCAAGACTAATAATTATAAACATGAATGACAAATATATGAACAAAGAATTTGAGAAGAAATTTTTTTTTTTTTTGAAAATGGTAACGATGTATTATATCACAAAAGTACATGGGTTGTACTCAAACCTTATATACAGATGCACTCTAGACACTCCTACTCTATTTCTATATTGAGTCTAAACCATCAACTATAGAGGCAGTGTCATTTGAGTATAATTGATTACACCAAAAACATAACAACAAAATGCAGTTTAGTTTAACATCCTGCACACTATTTTCTATGCCTTCAAAACATCTGGAATTCCTTTCTTTCCAGATTGCCCACCATATTGAAGCAGGGATAATTCTCCATCTAGTTTTGTCTTTTGCAAGGGCACCTGCCTCCTCCCAGTTGTACAATGCCTCAGTAACTCTCCTAGGCATAGTCCAGGATATGCCTTTTAAGACTCAAGAAAATCCTCCAAAGCTGCCGAGTGTATTTGCAGTGTAGAAATAGATGGTTTACAGTTTCTAAGGTTTCCCCACATAGGAAACACCTAGAGAATAAGGTTATCCCCCTTTTCATTACATTATCCTGAGTCAGGGCAGCTTCCTTAGCTAGCAGCCAAATAAAGCATGAGACTTTGTGTGGGATTCTACACTTCCATATTTGTTTCCAGGGCCAGATGGGACTCTGCTGGCTTGATTGATCCATCAGCCTGTAAGCTGAATGCACTTTGAACTCTCCTTTATTGTTGCCTTTCTACCAAAGCATATCCTCATATGCTTGCAGTCCAGTAAAGTTTCCAACCAAGTTGAGGAATTCTGCCAACCTCATCACTTCCCAGTCATTTGGTTCTCTCCTGAAGATGAAATTCCACCCTTGTGGTGTCCATAGTTCTGCAGTAGTTCTTTGTTGGAACATTGCCAGATTGTAAATATCAGGAAAAAGAGTTTCCAGGTTACTTTTCTCATGCCATTCATCCTTCCAGAATTTGATCTTGTTCCCATTCCCCACTTTCATCTTGAATTTGGGTTTAACTTCCTCCCATAATGCTCTTATGGACCTCCATAAACTGATCCCATAAGGTGTGGTCACAATCTTAGTCATCCAACTATCTTCATTCTCATATTTGGCACCTATCACTCTTCTCCAAAGTGTTTGGTTTTCATTTGAGTATTTGCACAACCACTTCATTAAGAGTGCTTTGCCATGTAGCTCCATATTCTTTATTCCCAGACCACCATTCTTCGTTCCAGTTGTCACTGCATTCCATTTAACTAGATGAAAGCCTCTATTCTCTTTGTTTCCTTGCCACAAGAACTTCCTTCTTATGTTGTCTAGTCTTTTAGTGATCCCTGGTGGGATGGGGAGTAGAGACAGCATGTAAGTTGGGAGAGCATCCAGGACTGAGTTAATGTGGGTCAGTCTGCCCCCTCTTGACAAGTACTGAGTTTTCCATCTGGCCAGCTTCTTCTCACACTTCTCTATCACACCATTCCAAATTTTTAAGGACTTGGATTTTGCTCCCAATGGCATACCCAAATATGTTGTAGGTAGAGTACCTACTTCACCCCCTAGAATTGAAGCTAACAAGTCTATGTTGTTGACCTCATTGATAGTATACATAGAACTTTTAATCCAATTAATGTGCAACCCGGATACCCCTTCAAACAGCACCAGGATCACCCTTAAGTATTTCAGTTGGTCTTCCTCAGCTCCACAAAAAATCAGTGTATCATCTGCATACTTTTATCAATTGTTAAAAGTCGCCTCTTGAGAAGAGGCTCGTTGGCAAGGAAAAGTATGTCTTAGAACCTTGATGACGACACTAAAGCACACATTAAGGAAGGAAAGACGCTCAATATGTTTTGAGCCTCACTTCAAGGCTTAAGCACTCCTTTGACAACACTGCGACAGAGATGGCCGGATTAGCTCTCACCGTATCCAATTCTCATGGTGGGTGTTGGTTTGATTTCAACACTTATGGATACGAGATTCTCTTTAAACAAACGTGAGTTTGCCGAAAAAAATCTTCAATTCCGAAATTTTCTCTTCCTCTATGTTGTTGACCTTTACAGGGCTCTGATACCATGTGAACGGAAGAGAAAATGAGAGGCACTCAATTTGATCATTCCCTCAAGCTATTGAGGTTTAAATAACAATGTTTGCATGTCCTAAAAAGAAAGGAAATCAATACCTAATTACAATAGGAGTAAATTAAGCTACCTACTATATTTACATATATTCTAGATTTTTTACAAGTATTCTAACCATCCCTAGTTTGCTCGTTTGTATACGTGTTGATATAGTGAATAAGTCCTCTCCACCATGGACATGGGTTTCTTATCGACCAAACCGCATAAATTGTGCACCTCTTTTATTTGCATTAGTTACCATCATTATTGACTTACTTATTTAAGTACACACTACCCAAATTCCTGATCCTAACAAAAGCAAACATTTGTACCTGCTACATCAGAACACATAAATGAGTCGATCCAAAAGATAAGTCGTTCGGAAGCCACATGAATCCTACATCCAAATATTGCATGAGACAAAGCAGACATTTCCCATAGTTCAACTTTCTTACAAGGATCCGTTTGACTAAGTTCTAGTCATGGAAGCACTCCTAGATGGAAAAGCCATTTGCAAGAAAGGAGCAAGAAATCTGGGATATGATCACTCATTAAGTGCACAATTAATAGGACATCCTTCTCCCACTAAAAGCACGAGCAGTTGACCACAAAGTTAATGCATCTTACTTTTTTGCTTTTCACTACAGCAGATAGCCTCCTATAATAAATCTCATTGAAAATATCAGCAGCAGTATGACTGCGTAATAAGAACAAACCACTTATATGTTGTCAACCCCTTGGTGTCCTAATTTCCCTATCCCTGAATAGAGAGGTGATGGACCGGATGGGATCACTCGAAATCTTTCTCATCTCCAGTTACAAGATCCAAGCCATTAAGATTTTGTGAAATCTCACAATTCAACAAGGCCTTAGCTTCACAGAACTAAGAACTCAGTCCAAGAAGCATTGCTATACTTCATTCTTCTTCTTTATGAATAGCCCACTCCTAATGAAACTCACTCCGGCGGCATGTTGGTCAATGTAGAAGTGCACTGAAGCACACTAGGATTAAGATAATTAATTCTTTGTGCCTGTGAATTAAATGCCTTAAAGTTCGACAAAATGACTACTGATCTACTAGCTTGCATTAGTACTTGCAGTTTGGCAACTTCTACTATACCTATCCATGGTAAGTAGCACTTCAAGGACTTGGGAGTACCTATTGACTGATGACTGTGCCGTACATTAGACTAAGCTCAGAATTACAGGACATACACAATTGATGCATTAGGAATGTGAAGCACCTATAACAATATATGCAAGATGCAGAAGGGAACAACAATGACAAATAAACATTAAATAACTTCCCTATCCCAACTAAAACACACTCTACAGGATGTTAAACAGGGACAAACACCAAAATCAACTCTTAAGAAGAGTGACAGAGCTACAGTTCCGTTAACCTGTTCCGGTAGTTTTTGGCCCAAACTCATTTGTGTTAAGAAATTCAGTAAATACATATAAACAATTTATGCACAACCCAGTAAATTGGCTTCTCTAGAAAATACACAAGCCATAAGCTCAAAATTTTAGCTCAAACTATGCTTAAGAACCTTAAAACGAAAGCTAACTCCAATAGGATGGCAAGCAGAGACTAACGGATGATGTCAAGCATACTTTCATTTCAATCACCTAAATCAGTTTCAATTTGTTTGTCGGGATTTGACTTGACGGTTTAAGAAAGTAAAAGAACACACTCTTACAGAAAACGGATTTGGAAGTTAAAGAAAAAAACCAATAGTGACCAAGATAAGGAAAAAGAACAAACAACTTACTTGTGGGCACTGCACTCGGACTCGAGGTTGATGAGGTTTTGAGAAGGGGAAGATGGGTTGCCTTCAGGAAGAGCACTAAAACTTGGTCTCATGCAATTTCTTCTCAACATACACTGTAAAGGTCTCTTCATCGCCATTGTTAACCAGAATTCAGAAACAAAATACCCCCCTCTCTTCAATGAATTCACACACAAGCTCAAATTATAAACCCAGAAATGCAAAAGACCAAATCAATAAGAATCCAATACTGAACCAAGTACTAATATGAACCCTCTCAGTATACGTGTATATCTTGAATTGTGTTCTGCACCACCCTCTCGATTGCTTCAATTCATCGTTTCCTTCTTTCTTTTGTTTTCTTGCGTCACGTATTCTGCCACTGCAAATTGTAGCTTGTCCAATAATAGATTTTCACTCTACTATTTTGGTATTGTCCTATAATACTTGTTTACTTTACAAGATAAAGAAATTATCCTTATCATTAATTATATATAGTTATTCCTATTATGATTTTTAAAATATTGTATTTATTATATTTAAAGAATGACATAATAAAATTAGTCTTTTATTTATAATCTTTTAAAAAGTGTGTAAAATCAAAAGTGGATAACTATTATTAATAAAGGGAATATTTTTAGTATTATTAAAGGTATTTAAACATCTGTATAGTTAAACTGTTAACTTAAGTTTTGCTCTCAAGTTCAAGATGATCTGATATGAGAGTAACGTAAATTATGTACTTAGTTTCTTAATTATTGATAGTTTTTAAAAAAATATGTTTTATTTGAATAACTAAACTTAGACATATCTTTATAAGAGCATGGAAATCTTAATAAAAAGTCGACATATGTGTTGAAAATATTCGTAAATTTGATGAGAATTTAGATGTGTATTTCACTCATATTGCAAGATCGAGTTTATTGAAATTCAATTAATCAAGTAAAAACAAATATTAAGGCTATTCATATTTTAAAGATTAAACTAATAATTCACGTCAAATTTAAAGGTATTTCTAATATTTTTTATTACTATATTAAATACAACATATTGTATAAACTTATCCTTTTTCACCCTTAAATAATTTCAAATAAAGTATAACTATTAAATAATAAATATTAAAATAAAACTATCACATCACTTGGTGATTTTTTATAAAAATAAATTTGTTCATCCTTATCCAATCGTAATAAAAATAAATTTAAGCAATATACAATTGTAAAAATTGAATGCACAGTTTCCTAAATGGCTCACTATCCGATTCGATGTGCCACGGATATAAACGACCCACTATCGTACGCTCTGAATTCGGCGGACCAACCAATTGATTTTCTTTTAGTCAATTAAAATAAATTAAATATAGTCAAACAGATTTATTTTTTCATATAAAATATATTGACAGGTGTCCGTACTAGTATAAGCACAATTTATGTTATTTATTTTGTCTTAATTTATGATACACATAGAATTTAGAAAATGATAGTCTATATGACCTAGTAATTTACTCTAGATTTGTCTATGAGGGAAATAGGTTGTCTAACGTGTTCCAATATAACAGTAAAAATAATAAAGAACACAATATTTTTACATGAAAAACACCCGGCTCAAAAGGTCTAAAAAATCACGACATGTATCCCTACAGGATTTAACTCCAACTCACTAGATCACTGAGCCTCCACAGAAAATAGATTACAAACTTTGCAACATACGCAACTAACTCTAATTCATTAACTTTAAGTTATGGATTTACATTACAACTCTTGCAATTCTAGGAACTAACTATAATTCCTAACATTCAAGTTATGAATTTAGATTACAACTCTTGTAATCCTAGGATCTAACTCTAAATCCTAAACTTCAGCACAAACATCCCAAGGTATGTGTTCCCAACTCTTCGAGTTATCACAACCTAAGACAACGCTCCTAATTCAGTTTTATAACTCATTGAACTAAGATTACATCAAGACTTTATGACAAAGAAAAACTCCTAACACATAAATTCTGTAAAAAGATCAAGTTATTCGATGTGTTCCTTTTATGTGTTCCTTCGATTCGATGGTAGCACTTGTGAAGTCAATTTTTCAATTATATTTTTGCTCTGTAAGTGCACAAGTATTCTGGACGACTTCACCTCTATTTTAAGCACAATTCTTCATAGAGTTAATGTTCACTTCAAACTCCTTATTGACTTGAACTCTCTTCACTTAGAGTTATACTTCAAGTGAGACTTCTTCTTCAATTCAAACTCCTTGCTTCTTTAGACTCCTTTAAATAAAATCATTGATTCTTTTGTGTTGTAGTCGAACTCCGACGCTTCAATTCAGCAGTAACTTGAAGAGTTCTACTTTAAGTTGTAACACCTCGGACTTGGAAAAGGTTAGAAAGGGTTAACGGGCGTGTCCATAGCCCTAAAACAGAACATTGACCCTTCACTGAAGACGAAACGGCTTGTGAAAGAGATCACGGTCCGTTTAGTGAAGTGGCCCAACCATTTAAGGCTGCTTGGAGAGGAGTCCACCTGGACAGACCCCTAAATGGTCTGTGAAGTCCTGGACGACCTATTTTAGGGAGGCTGCTCAGCCATCCAGGGCTAACCAGGCAAGGGATCTTTTAGACGGTTCCTTATACGGCATGTGGGGCCTTGTACGGACCGTCTAGCCCTCCTTCAAGGTGACTTCGTCAGATTTTAAGTTAAGGTCAACTTCAAACGATCATATCTCTCAATAGATAATGAATTAGGTGGCCCATGATCTATCAAATAAAATGCCATTGAGTCCTCTTTCCAATGCCACCAATTTTGCCTCATTCCGAGTTAGGCGTAAAAAGCTATACCCGTTTTAGTAAGTCCATAGTTGAAGTTTCACGAACTGCTTGACGGCCAGTGAAGTGTTTCACGGACCGTGGAGCTCTAAACTGTTACGACCCAGGGTACCACCTAGATGTAACATGGCGTATAGAACCCTGAAGGACTCCATACAAGCCGTTTAGCTTTCATAACATAAGAAACATAACAATAAGAGTAAAACAATAGTCCAAGTCTAAATCATTTTATAAAATGAAAAGCGGAAGTCTAAACTCATGTCTCATCATAGCCATCTAATACAATCGAATGAAATTGGGTCTAGCCCATACATCATGTTCGAAACGAAATACAAGAAAGAAACTAAGAATATAAAATTTTGTTCTCAAAGCATGAGGACTCACCAAAGCTCGAGAATATTTCAAGTCAACCTCTAGCCACGAAAACCTGAAACCTGACTGTCGGACCCTACATTTGGGGAAAATGTAGGCAAGAATATGCGTTTGTACAAAACAATGTACCAAGTATGATAGCCATGCACAAAACATTTAAACACATGCTAAAAGGGATATTTCATTTCGTAATATGCAATTGACCAAGCTAAACATGATATAAAAGCTTTATAAAACATAAGTCATAAGATCATGGTCAATGCAAGCTAACTTCATCTTTAAAACCTTTGAACTCATATGAGATACTTCTTGAAGTTACCTTAGTTCATTATTACTTGTGGGGAAATTAGCCTTAACCTAAATGAGACCATGTTAGCTATAACATGGAATGCGGTGTCTACCCCACATTGAAAAGAGGTGTTCTACTTGCCTAAGGTAGAACCTTGAACTTCTAGCTTAAGTGGATCCACTAGCTAATCAACCTATGGGGGCACATAGTTTATGGGATAAAGAGATTGCTACTAGAAACCCAGCCTCTACTAACGGGGGATTACTTTGGAAACTCGGCCTCTACTACGGGAGAGCTTCCATCTCACTTTCAATATCCACTCGATGCTTAAGCATAAATTCCCAGGAAATAGTCATTTCTTACTTGACTTCATTACTCATGAAAAGGTGTTCCTTGGACAACCAATCCAAGCTAGTTCATTAGGATAGCTCTTACTCTTGATTCATTTAGGTGAGAAAGCCTTTCAACCTAAGAATCCTTTCTATGTGAGAAAACCTTTCACATCATGCTAGTTATGTGTATATGAGAATGTCCTTTCAACAACACAACAATAACATCATCATTGGTACTTTACTCTCAAAGCACCCTTAAAACATTAGCATAAATCTCATAATTAATGCATAAGTCCATAATTTACCTCTTGAGGTCAAAACCTACTTTCAATCATAAACTCTTAGAAAACATGGGTTAGATATGGATTTCATCATAAATACATGTAAAACTTGTAATACATGCTCAATTTCAGAAAACACTTGCTTTATACTCAAAATCCATATGATTCACAACTTGAAAACATAGGGATTACATGGGTTCATGGGGAGTTCATCATAAAAGCATTGCATTCTAAATTCATGCATAGAAGATCGTAATTCAATCATTTAAAACAATAGAGATAAGTGTCAAAAACACACCTAAACTATCCCTTTTTTTTTAGTTTCATACCTAAACTACTGAGAGTATGAGTTTCATACCTAAACTATTGAGAGTGTGAGTTTCATACCTAAACTATCACTTTTTATTTGAGAAACACACCTCAATGATGTGTGTAATGCACTCTCTCTTTTATTTGAAAAAACCTTGACACATGTCATTCCACATGGATAAAATATTTCACCTTGACAAAAATTAATAATAAACTATTAATATTAATTAACAATTAAAGATTAAAGTAAAAAGAATATTTTTTTTATATAAAAAAATTAAAATTATTTTTCTTACCCCACTCCACCACCTCCTCCACGTACCCCCTACCCCCTACAATCCCCCATCCTTTTAAAAAAAAATCTTTTATAAAATTCATACTTCTACTTCACGCTCCCCCGCAAAAAAAAAAAAACCACCAACCATCCCCCCCCAAAAAAAAAATTGATATTATTTTATTTTAAAAAAAATAAAACTTCTACCCCATCCTATTTAACCCTCCGCTCCTAGTTTTAATTTTTATTTTTCACATTTTTCTCATTTTTTGTTAGATATTTACGTTCATATATTTTTAGAAGAAAAAAATCTACTAGTGTATCGAATATAACATAAATAAAAAAAATTAAAAAGTATTGCGGCAACAAGTAAAAAATATTTTTGATATGTATATATCTAACACAAAATGAGAAAAAAAATTGGAAGCAGAGGTTTAGATGGGGTGGGTAGAATTTTTTTTTTTTTTAAAAATAAAATAATATCTATATTAGTATTTGATGGGGGGAGGAGGAGATGAAGTAAAAAAAAAATTAAATACTTTTATAAAAGAATTTTTAAAAAAAATAAAAATAAAAATTGGCCGGGGTGGGGGTTGGGAGGTTGGGGGGGGGGGCGGTGAGAGGAAGTGATGGAGT